CCCGGATTATCGACGTGGAGTGGGTGATCCTCTCTGCTCCATATGATTGGTTGTTCGGACCAACATAGATAACAGGGTGTGGCTGGTTCAACAGAGTTGACTGCCCGCCTCTGAACCTTCCGGTCTTGCTTGTCCAAGCTAGTGGTAAAGACATGGTACTGCCCATTACTCAACTGCTTTGGGTTGCTTTGGTAACCTGACTGTTGCTGCTGTTGGTTGTAACCACCCTGGTTGTTCTGACTATTTTGACCATTATGTCCGCCCGGATTACCATTAAATCCTGAACCGGAACTTCCTCACCGTAACCCGGCCCAGACCCTGAGCCACCGCCAGATCCGTGATCATACCGGAAATTATTAGAATTTTTAAACTCCTGCATAATAAAGCAATCCTTCCAAAGGTGGTTTGCTGGCTCCTCCTTTGTCCCATGTCTTGGACAGGGCTGGCTTAGCAGATAGTTCAGGCGGTTTGGGTTGGGGTTGGGTGCTCCACTACAATTTTTCGGCCTACCCTTGCGCCACTGGCCATTGTCCTGTACGTTGGTATTAGCCACAAAATCCATGTTGCCATCTGCTTTACGCTTGCCTCCTCCGCCATTGCCTACCCAGTGATGCTGCTGACCTTTGGAGCTGCTGTTCTTCTTCCCCTTCCCTGTCTTGTCATCATCAGATTCGGGATCCTTGGTACTATCAGAATCAGCATATTTTACCAAAGCGGCCATGAGGGTCCCCATGTCGGTGCAATGACGTTTCATCCGTCCCAATTTCAACTTCAGGGGCCCAAACCGGCAGTTGCCTTCTAGGGTTAATACTGCGGTGTCAGTGTTGATGCGGTCTGAGGAGTGCAACACTTGTGAAACCCGGCGCACCCAATGAGTCGTTGACTCTCCTTCCTCCTGGACGCATGCAGCTAAGTCCACTATCGACATAGGCTGTTTACAGGTATCCTTGAAATTGTTGATAAACCGGGCTCGTAATTGGGCCCATGAACTGATAGAATTAGCGGGCAAGCTTTTTAACCAAGTACGGGCCGTTCCTTCAAGCATCATGGTGAAGTATTTCGCACACACCGTGTCATCCACATCAAGCATCTCCATGGCCATCTCATAACTCTCTACCCATGTCTCTGGTGGTTGATCCGCCGTATAATTTGGTACCTTGCGTGGGCCTTTGAAATCATTGGGCAAGCGCACGTTGCGTAAAGCGGGGACGAGGTAAGGCACCCCCAAAGAACTAGAAGTAACACCAGGTTCGATCGAAATGGTTGGACGAACCGGCGTGAGCTGCCGAGCCTGATGCTGTGCGGCTAACTCGGCCTCTCTACGCGCTCGGGCCCGGTTCACCATTTCCTGAGCATCATCAGCACCACCGGTCGGGTTGTTGCCACGGGGTGCTCCACGTCGTTCATTACTCGACACTGCTGGTTCATCCATATGTCTGCTATAGCTCCGGCTTGGACGGGGGGTCGAGTGGATTCGGTCGCGGCTGTACGAGTACGCCTCCTGTTGGGCCAAAGCTATCCTCAGAAGTTCCTTGACCCGTCGCGTCTCTACTGCTTGCGGCGAGTCACCTTCAACTGGAATGGCCTCCAATCATGCAGCAGCGGCAACAAGATTGTCCATTGGGTTGGAGTAGTGACCCGGAGGTGTTAAAGCATCCCGAGGTATAACGGGGTTTTGACGAGGCGGGTCCATCTGACGGGGCTGAACCGGTGCACCGGTTCCAGGGGCTTCTGCCCGATTCCCCTCCAGCGGATTACTGGCTCTTGGTCCTGGAGTGTTGAAAAGGTCTCTGGCCTCGAAAACCGGAGGTAAGCGGGACCGGTGCTTCCTCCTCATGACTTCATGCGACGCGCTCTGATCCAACATAAGCCTGTAGGCCTGTGTGTCTAAAGAGGCCCGCTTTGCGGCCATCCTAGTGTCCTCAGCCGCCAGATCTATTTTGGCCTGGGTGATTTGTTCCTTTACCTTTGCAATCTCCGTGTTGTGAGCGTCCTGATCCGGCGGATTGACTTCTGCCATAAGCACAGCCAACGCATCAAATAGTTCTGATAGAACCTGAGCCGGTGGGCGCACAGGGCCTCCCGCCCCGGCAACCGTTGCCACGGCTGTCGAAGAGTGAAGCGCTGCTTGTGTTCCGGTCATGAATATTCCAACCCGGTTAGGCAGATCAGAGGGGTCCGGAATACTGTCGCCATCGGAACAGCTCTTAATCCGGCCATCTTGTAGCTGATAAAGAGATTCGGTTTCTCCGGTCGAAGATTCGTCACCGGAACGATCGGCAGTCGCCTCGCGAAGCTCCGATCCATCCTCATAACTCCCTCCATGGATCATTCCCACGAAGGCACGCTTCATGGCCGGTTTAACCCGGGTGGATCGCGTACGCTGAGCCGTCTCGACGAGGTCGGTGCAGATGTCCGGCTCAGGGCCCGGTTCACCGATCTTGCCAATGAAAACGTGAATGCTACCAAAGGGGACCCGGTACCCGTACTCAATTGAGCCGGCCTCGGGGCCCCAGCCTGCATCGTCGATGTAGAGTTTGCCGCGACGACTCTTAGTCATCCGGCCTACAGCGTAGCCCTCGAGTCCTTCAAAGCGGCCCTCCAAGAACCGGAAACCATCGTGCGATAGCCCCACGGTGGGCGCCAACTGTCGTGGTTTTGTCACGGCAGATGTCCTAGAGAAAGGACTTAGTCGTGGAGCCATCGCTACGGGTTAGCTTGAAGGGGTTAAAGCGGACACAAGGACGCAAGAGAGTTTATACTAGTTCGGCCCCTTCAATGAAGGTAAAAGCCTACGTCTAGTTGTGATGGAATTGAAGGGTGTTTCGACGACTAGGTAGCAAATAAGCTTCGCCTATGTCTCGAGTTGTTGTCTCTCCTTGAACCGCCGCTGGGTCGTCCCCTTATATACATGGGGACGCCCGTCGGTTTATAGAGTCCCGATACCGGCTCATAGATGCGTCCGGTTCGGTCTCCACTATTCCTAACTTATAACACAAGTTACATACCGACACCGGTTTATAGCTATAAGCCTTAAACCGATTATGGGCCTTTAGCCCTCATCTGCCCTCATGGGCTTTTATCACACTCAACTACTGATGAAGTTAACCCGGCTTGTCCTGGCCGGTTTACGCCCAGTAGTAATATCCCCAACAACGATGATAATGCTCGAACCGGGCTTGAACTAGATCACGCGACATATGGTAACAATCATCTATAACTGCTGCAGCTGGCCCAGCAAAAAGGCCACCATCTTGCATTGCTTGGATCACATCACTATTATCAGAACTGATCACCAGTCTTGAGCACCCATAGCTTTGGGCCAAGTTAAGGCCGAACCGAAGCGCAAGGGCTTCAGCCATGAAAACATCCATGCATTCACCAGCGACATTATTTCCTGCTGCCAAAAATTTCCCAGAGCTATCCCGCAGTATTGCACCAACTGTACCTTGTAAAGTGTCGGAGTCAAATGCCACATCAATATTGAGTTTCACTATCCCAGCAGGCGGTCACACCCATGGATTCTTTTGGATTTTCACCTTCGGTAGAGAGGCAGCCAAGAAGTTTGCTGCAAGGCCCCGAACCGATGCAACAATTTCAGAAGGCTGGGTTGTCCGCTCTTTATGGACAAGCTTTCTGCGTTCCCACCACATATACCATGATGCGATTGACACAATAATATCCGATCTTTCCTGCCCCAATACAACTGTTTCATTTGCAGGTAGGTTCAATAGATGTTCAAGCACAAATTCTCCTGAATGGTCTATCTCACATGCCTGTGAAATAACCTCCTCAAGTCCCAATTCTGTCCGGACTTGTTTCGTATTTTGGCACTGGAATAACATGTGTTTAATACTTTCACGCCCATCGCACGCCGGGCATTTTGTTTCAATCTTCATGTGTCTATCAACCAGTGTAGTTCTATATGGTAGAGTTCCATGTAATGTTCGTCAGAGGAATATTTTTACTTTGGCAGGGCAAGGCAATTTCCACATAACATCCCAGGTACGGTTCAGTGATGCGGAACTAGGTCCATGTGTGGTTCCTCTCGCCTCATATTTAGACTTCCACATGACATAATAAGCTGATTTCACCGAAAACGTCCCTGTTTTTGTCATATGCCATGAGATGAACTCCTCCATCTCGAAAGCTGGTAGAGGTATTGACAGGATGCGTGGTACATCGATGGGCCAGAACGTCTGCTCAATCAATTACATGTTCCACTGTCCTGTTGCTGGGTCTATAAGATCAGCCACCATGGATAACAAGTTAGCTCCGCGAGGTGTCGGTCTTCCGTTGTTGGATTGTGGTATCCATGCTTCTGACCAAATCTTTATTTTGTGTTCATCTCCTACCCTCCAAATATATCCCAACTTCAAGGTCTCCACACCTTTCATGATACTTTGCCAGGTATATAAGGCTTTCTTCTTTAGTGTGGCATTAAGTAAGTCCCCTTCCGGATAGTATTTTGCCCTGAGAATCATTGCACAAAGAGAGTCAGGGTTATCAATCAGTCGCCAAGCTTGTTTGGCCAACAAAGCAAAGTTAAAGCAGCGTATATCTCGAAACCCCATTCTTGTAAACAGGTGTTTTTATAGCCTTGGTGAAGGGATATATTCATTCTAGTGCATATATTCTAGAAAAGAAAAAAGAATGGCCAACATATTTGTACACCCGTAGCAACAAACCGGCAACAAGAAAACTGAAAAGTGATTCCGAACAAATCAGACAGGAGCCGGGTTCCGCCGGTAACACCCGTTTCCCCCGTTCTCCGGTGAGTCACTGTCCTAATAAATCTAGCAGCCAGGGAACCATCGGCAGGAGGGCGGCCCCAGTTGCACGAACGCACGCACCCACCCCACGCACGCGGGCGGGTGAAATCTAGGACGGAATCCGTTCCAGTCCCCGTCGATCACGCCCCGAGAGGCGGAAGAGCTTTCGTGGCGAGGAATCCGCCGGAGGCTCCCCGATTTGCATGTCCGGGGCTCGCTGGAATCGGAATGCACTGGTGCCCCGGAATCGGGCCGCGGGCGCGCTCCTTCCTGCGTGACTACGACGCGCTCCAGTCCCTCGCCCTCGCCCTCATATACCTCCAGGTGCGCACGCGGTTCTTTGCCCTCAGCTCGATCTGATCGTCTATCACTGGTTCGGGCGCGGTTCTTTGTTGTTGCTGTTGTTATCCGTGGTGAGGAGCTCAGGCGCGGAGAAGAGGAGGGAGCAGATTTGAGCGCGCTGTATTCTTTTTACTACCGTGCACGGGCTGTGGCCTTCTGGTGTCCCCATGGTTTACCCCTAACTAATCTAGTTCATGATGATGCTAGCGGTGTCAGACTACCTAGGATGAACAAGTTCATAATGCGGTTTAGATGGGCTTGAGATCGGATAGTTTCTTATGCGTGGCGTAACCTTACGAAGAGAAGCGAGAAGTTTTGGTTCAGTCTGGTGTTGAGTCAAGTTTGGGGGCATTGCAATGATTCACAGGTTTAGTGACAACCATGTGCCTTAGCTCGTGGGTTTGGACTTGCCCAGCATTTTTGGTGTCCTTTTATGTTCCATTTGGCCAGGTCATTTTATTCAGATGCTACCCTGGATGGGCTTTATGTATTTCTTACAGCAAAAGATGACTTATCTTGCTCTGATTTCTTACTGGCTCTAGGTCATATTAGATCAGAATTCACTGCTTGCAAATGCCACAGCCGGATATGAAATGAAAACTGTTAAGTTGTTTTAAACTTTGAATGAGGAAATAAGCAAGGAACATTTCTTGAAAGATTATGAGGATTTAGTCAAGCAATAAGGAAGGCATATAAGTATGTCTAACCTTACCATTTCAGTTTCTATTTCCAATATAGCGTTCACGGATAAACGAAATGAAGTTGGAGGCCCACCACCACCAACAAAGCCTTTAGTCTGAAACAAGTTGGGGTAGGCTAGAGCTGAAACCCATAAGACCTCAAAACAAACTCATGGTTCTGGCACATAGATAGCCAACTTCCACGCATCCCTGTTCATGGTTAGTTCTTTGGTGATATTCCTATCCCTCAGATCTCTCTTTACGGGTTCCCCTCGACATTCCTGCGTTGTATATGCCCAAACCATCTCAGACGATGTTGGACAAGCTTCTCTTCAATCAGTGCTAGCCCAACTCTAACACGAATATCATCATTCCGGACCTGATCCTTCTTGTATGGACACACATCCATCTCAACATGCGCATTTCTACTACACCCAATTGTTGAACATGTTGCCTTTTAGTCGGCCAACACGCAACGCCGTACAACATTGCAGATCGAATCGCCGTCGTATAGGACCTACCTTTTAGCTTTTGTGGCAATCTCTTGTCACAGAGAATGCCGGAAGCTTGGGGCCACTTCATCCATCTGACTTTGATTCGATGACTCACATCTTCATCGATATCACCATCCTTCTGCAACATTGGCCCCAAATATCGGAAGGTGTCCTTCAAGGTACCACCTGTCCATCAAGGCTAACCTCCTCCTCGTGCCTAGTAGCACTGAAACATCACCTCATGTACTAAGCCTAAAATGTTTTGATTCCAAAGTTTGTCTCCATAGCTCTAACATTCTATTAACTCTAGTCCGACTATCATTGACTAGCACCACATCATCCGCAAAGAGCATACACCATGTGATGTCCTTGTATATCCCTTGTGTCCTCACCATCACCATGTCAAAAAGATAAGGGCTCAAAGCTGACCCTTGGTGTAGTCCTATTTTAATCAGAAAGTCATCAGTGTTGCCATCACTTGTTCGAACACCTGTAATAGTTGGAGGCCCACCAAGTGGATTAAATCAAATGTAATCGCTTCGGTGCTGTCTGTTAGAACATGGTTGTGTTGTGTTGTAGTTACCATATTGTATAGGCACTTCTTGGCTTATTTCCCTCATGTGTATATGCATTGTTTGTTGGCTCCGTTCAATACAGGAAGCTTATTTTGTAACATGGTATAAGAGCTAGGGTTAGGTTCTCAACCGCCATCGCCCCTCACAAGGGAATCCCCACCGGGTAGGCCCACAATGACAGTCGACCTAGCTAAAGGACAAATGTGATGGGCCAGCCGGTGTGGAGCACTTGGTTGGATGGGGAGGCCAATTGGGTTCAATAGAAAGCTAGCCAGTCGGATACAACAGAAAGCCAGTCAGTCGGATCATGAGAAGCCAGTTAGTCGGATCAGGAGAAGCCAGTTAGTTGGATCACGGTCATCCGACAAGTCAAAGGACGCGCAATAAAGGCAGACGTTACCATGGTCACCACTAAGCATTAACTCGGGTGTTACACAATGTAACAAGTAGCTAGTAATAGGCGGCATTCAATAGGCCGTTACTTGTAGAATTAATTCAGATGACCTTTCACGCTTCTAGCCATGTTGAGCCTATACAAGGCATGGTTGGGGCTTCTTGCCAAGGATTCACATCATTTGTAATTCCTATACACATAAGAAAAAGCACATCAGGAGTAGGTGTTATCCCTTAGCAAGGGAGTTTGAACCTGGGTAATAAGCTTTACGCCCTCTCATACACACCCATGCACGTACAGCTGAAATGCCCACGACAGTTGGCGCACACCGTGGGGCCTAGCGTCAGTTTGGAGCTATGGTTCAAATGGCCTCCTCTACAACCACCAACGACGGACTGGTTCATGGGTGTGCCATCCATTTTGGCTCGTTGGACTTCCTCACTGATGGTTCGGCATCGCGCCTCGACGCCTTGCTCACTGAGATCTCGTTGTTGGACACCGGGAGTCTGCACTAACATGTCAACATCGCTAACATTTTGTGGCTGCAAGATCCGGCTTCATACCGGCTGACCGATCAGGTGCCCAACGGTGACTGAGGCGTTCTACAATGCCTTGGCTCGTCATTGCCACAATCGGTGTTCGCAAGATCCGGTTTCACACCGGCTGGCTGACAGGTGCCCCAGCGGCGCTTGAGGTGTTCCACAATGCCTTGATTCGCCATCCTTGTCTCATTTTTTGGCATGGTCAACTCTGACTCACCATACTCCATACTGGAGTCTTGCTCCGATGGGGAAGAAAGTTTTGACAGCCTCGCCTCTGTGGCAAGTGTCTTCATGGGCAGCATCGACCTCAATGATGGCGGCGTGCGCGAAGATGGTGCGCACGACGACGACATGCGCAAGGAAGGTGCTGGTAATGGCTTTGCCGACTTCGCTCAAACGCCAAGTCGCTCCACGTGAGATCGATGAAGAGGCCATGAGGTTGAATCAATTCAGCCGTGAAGTGCTTGTACTAGTAGTACTAGTTGCAGCGCGGTTATCAAGATCTGATTGATGAATAGTATTATGCATGCAAGCAATCTGATCCCTAGTCGGCATGCCGAGTACTACTTGCTTCGAGTACTATTTCAGCGGCCGAGTACTACTTCAGCTGAGTATCATCACTGCAGCAAACCAGTACTGCGGCCGAGTCGCAGCAGCCCAATCCGAGTCGCGCTTCCAAGTTGCAGCCAACTAGTAATGCGGTTGAGTGATCCGATCTCCAACTGCTGCTCCACGTGAGATCAACCAGAAGAAGTAGCACCAAGTACTAGTGTGAGCACAAATCCCAAGATCTGATTGCTACTCACACAAAGCACCAGCCGGGTTCAGTACTACTTCACGCAAAGCGTCAACAGAACGGGTTGTCACGCGTCCAAGCTTCAGCTCCATCACAGACCTTGACACTAACCACCACTGAAGGCCGCCACCAACAAATGGAACAATCACTTGGAAAAGTTGCGTTCGCATGAATCATCAAGGATTCTAGAGTAAGAGGATGATGAAGCCGAGAAGGCGAGAATGAAGTCTAAGCACTGTTCAACCGCAAACTTAGACAAAAAAGCAGTCGGCAGCACAAAATAGGTAGATGAGCATGTGCTAGCCAATCTAGTCTGCATGTTCGGATGAGGACCTCCTCTCTGAGGATCCTGCACCACCGCTAAACTCGTCTTGGAATCACCACTCCTTGAAGCCGCTGAGCGGGTCTCCGATATGGAGGTTGAGAGGGGTAGCGATAGATTGAAGAAGAGGATAACAGCGTATATCAGTTTTCCGCGTGTGCATATGCTGGAAGGGAGAAGCCACCACCAGTGAAAGAAGGGGCCGGCGCCAACAGAAGAATAGAGGAACCATGCAACGGCCCAAAACTGACCTGCTTGATCCTCAGGTAGATCAACCAATAAGTGCTGAAAATGAAAATAACTCAGCGAAGATGATATGTGGAGCAGCAAGGCGGGCACCACGGAGAGGAAGATGATGAAGATGAACATCTGGTGACCAAGAAGAGAAAAACATGGAAGGGGAGTTATTGGGAACAAAAACAAGACCACCATCTGGCAGCATAATCCCCAAACACACCAGAAGGGGACATATCTAGCCAGATAGAACAAGGGAGGTTATTTGTAGAGAGGAACACAAGCCCAACCTGCATCTGCACGCTGCCGGGAACTAAGAAGTGACCCCAGATCTAGTTCGACACTGAACACTCCAATCCGATTCGGAAGTCCTCAAACAGGCCATAAAGGACGCATAAACATGTGGATCTACAAAGGGAAAAAGGAGGGCCGAGCACCTCCCCCCTTCATCTCTAGCCGGATGAGCCGATGGGGAGGAAGGGGCGAGGAGGCGTCGGGAGGATGGCGAGTGAGACCAGGAACAAAGACTAAGACTGGATGGAGGAGAGAGAAAGAGAGGAGAGAAAATGACCATCATCTCGTAGTCAAGTGCTTCAAATTTACAAGTCGTTCGCTACCCTGGTTTGCATTCTGTATGATTCCTTCCTCTGTTCGTGTTTTTCGTGCTGATTTGGCTGGCGAGTACCTATCACGTGCACTTCATGGTTTCTTGCAAAGGGTTCTCTTTATTCACACTTATCCTCGTGATCATACTCTTTTGCTCCTCTATGTTGATGACATGATTATCACAGGGAATGGCCACCAATTCATTGATTTTGTGAAGAAACGTTTCCATGAGCAATTCTTGATGACTGATTTGGGTTATCTTTGCTACTTTCTTGGATTTAGGATCATTTCTTCCCGTGAGGGCACTTATCCCTCTCAAGAGAAGTACATCCAAGTTCTTCTCACTCGTGCATATGCCTGCCTCACTGATCAGCGCACAGTTGACACTCCTAATGAGTTTGGTCTTCATCTTCGTCCTAGTAAGGGTGAACCCCTTGCAGGTCCCACTCGCTGCTGTCATCTTGTTGGGAGCCTTGTCTATCAAGGCATAACTCGTCCTAACATTTCTTATGTTGTGCACATTCTGAGTCAGTTTGTGTGACATCCCAACTTAATAGTAATGATAGACTACTCATGTCAATAAGGTGCACATTCTTTTTCGGAAGTCTACCGAAAGGAACCTCAAAGTTAAGCGTGCTTGGCTTGGAGCAATATGAGGATAGGTGACCGACTAGGAAGTTGATCTCGGGTGTGCACGAGTGAGCACAAAGTGCGCAGTAAAGACTAGTGTTAGTCTGTGGGGCCAGTCTAGATTCTAGATGGTAGCTAAGGCGCAACGACCACGAAATGGTGGGTGAACTGCTGGGTTTGGCTGGGGTGTTTTGTTTTTGCTCCCACTTAACTTCACTAGTCATCTTCTTCGTGCTCTTCGTTATCGTTGTGGTATTGTGACTTTTCGCCTATTCTTCCCTCGCTCCAGCTTCAGCTTCATGCCTACTGTGATGCGCCTGGGCTAGTGATTACAATGATCGCAGCTCTCTCTCTCTCTCTCTCTCTCTGCCTATTATGTTTTTATTGGGTCTCTCTAATTGCCTAGAATACCAAGAAGCAGACCACTGTATCTCGCTCCAGTGTTGAGGCTGAGCTGTGAGCTATGGTGTCCATGACTGCAGAGATCACTTGGCTATGGTGTCTTGTTCAGGACTTTGGTGTTTCCACTGCTGCAAGTACCCCTTTGCTCTCCGACAGTACTGGGGCGCTCATCATTGCCCGTGATCCTGTGAAGCATGAGCTCACCAAGCACATCGGTGTTGATGCCTCATGCGTTCTCAGGTGCAAGAGGACTGTGGCCCTTCAGTATGTTCCCTCGGAGCTTCAGCTTGCTGATTTTCTGCCAAAAGCTCAGACACGGTCACAACACAGCTTCTCCCTTTCCAATCTTGATGTCCAAGACCCCACTTGAGTTTGAGGGCGGGTGGGGGGTGGGGGTGTTAGATCAGGGTTGTGCTGTGTGTGTATTTAGTTATTTACCATATTGTACAGGTACTTCGCTTATTTCTCTCTTGTGTATATGTACTGGCTGTTGGCCCCGTTCAATACAAGAAGCTCATTTCGTAACAGGTGCTATAAACATTTCAAGAATCAAGAACTATCAAAATTCAGGCAAATCCACAATCCAATTAAGCATGGATAAGTTATACTACAGAGTAGAGTTGGTAACAATCATATAAATCTGTGCCATCTCTTTCATGTTTGAGTATTCCAGATCATGTCCGTATAGCAGTGCTAATTACCCCCTGGTTCTTTGTATTAAAAATATGAAATTCTAAATCTCAGAAGTATTGTATTCTGGCCATTTACAATGCTGGAAACCATATATTATTATTGAGCGTGTGACTTAGCTAGTCTTGTAGGCAACTCTCTGAAACAGGCTCACGCCCCGCTTTATAGATAAAGCACCAACCAAGGTACCCGAGATCTGCTTGTAAGAGGACTGCTTTTGCTCGACAGCTCACCTATGCCACCATGAGGCACCTAGGACAACCGTGATGAGCACATGGCAACAGATCCAGATCTGGGTGTCGCCCCTGTCAATTACAGAGAGCGAGCCCGAGCCACCAGCCGCTACACCCCTCGTCGCCCACACGACCAAGAGACATAGCCATGGTGCCCGCCGGAGAGCCAACCATGCGATCCGCCTTCCAGGGCGGTCTTGTAGGCAACTAGGAATTGCTATTTTGAATTTTTTATCATGTTGGTAGAAAATTAGTGATTACTGGTCTCCTTCGCTTGTGGTTATATCATGGTTTAACAGTTAACATTCTTAGATTCAGTGAAGCTTACGTACTTGCTTTACTTTAGTTAATTTATAATACCTGGCTTAATGCTTATAACGTTGAATGAGCTCTGAGCAAAATGTTCTTCAAACTAATGTATTCATTTGCATAACATAATCTTCTATGTTTTAGATTGGTTGTGCGCTGATTGGATCGCTTGGTGCGCTGTTCAATGGGGTTCTTGTGATAAACCTTGTGATAGGGCTATTTGCTGTTGTTGCGATTGAAAGTAGTAGCCAAAGACTTGGCCGGACTTATGCTGTCCTGCTCTTCTTTGCTATCGTCCTTGACGTTGCATGGTTTATACTCTTCTCACATGCTATATGGTATGTTTTCTGCAACCACTATCTTTCAGACCTATTTTTTCTTTTCTTTTTTTGCATGTGCACCCTCAGTACACATGGCATCAGAATTAACATTTCCTGCATAATAGAAGTGCTAGTGACTTTGTAGGTGCTATTAAACATTAATAGCTTCATAAACTTGACGAAATAGTGGACCCATGCAAAATAGTTGTCAAACTAGTCTTTAGTTTTTTTTTAATCTTTTGGGTTTTGCATTTCGATTGGCACTACTTACTTTGGATTTTGACAATTTGCCACTTCTAACTTTGTAATTGATCTATTGCCATCCTTCAGTCTGCACTTTGATCTTTGCCTTTAAAAAAAATACTTCCAAATGATAGACATTATATGCACAAAATAGTGGACAAGTATACCTTTGCCCCCGTTATGTAGCCACCACCCGACCACCAGGGGCTTCTGGGAGGTAGCCACCGCCCAGCTGTCTCCCAGTGTTCCTCAGGCGACAGGGGATGAGAAGGAACGAGTGAGCGAACGAGATCCTCCTCCTGTTCCTGGTCAATCTCGTTAACAGGGTTGGTCATTTTACGTGTGACCCACTTGACAGAGTGGAAAATATCAAAGTGCAAACTAAAGGATATCAGTAGATCAATTACAAAGTAAGAAGTGGCAAATTGTCAA